CCACATCCAAATAACAATAAAAATCATTCACGCCCAAATAATGGTGAAAACTATCCACGTCCAAATAACGATGAAAATTATTCACGCCCAAGTAACAATGAAAACTATCCACGTCCAAATAACGATGAAAATTATTCACGTCCGAATAACAACGCAAACTATCCACAGTCGAATAACGATGAAAACTATTCACGTCCCAATAACAATGTAAATCATCCACGTCCAAATAACAATGAAAATTATCCACGTCCGAATAATGATAACAATTATCCACGCCCAAATAATGATGAAAATTATTCACGTCCAAGTAACAATGAAAACTATCCACAGTCAAATAACGATGAAAACTATTCACGTCCCAATAACAATGTAAATCATCCACGTCCAAATAACAATGAAAATTATCCACGTCCGAATAATGATAACAATTATCCACGTCCAAATAATGATGAAAACTCTTCACGTCCAAATAACAATGAAAATTATCCACGTCCAAATAATGATGACAACTATCCACGTCCAAATAACGATGAAAATTATTCACGTCCAAATAATAATGCAAACCATCCACGTCCAAATAACAACGAAAATTATCCAAGTTCAAATAATAGTGGATCCATTCAAAGACCTTATCCTGATTACAATAGAGAGGGTCCCCATGGTCCAGGCGATCGCATATCCGATCGAAATGAATATCCACAAAATCGACAGTGCAGGTACATCTGCCTCTCAATTAAAAATATATAATTCTTTATTAACGTTATGACGGAGATGGTACTTATTTATATTCATATTAGTTAAATAATTAACAATAAAATTTTAATTATTTTTAATCAGAGACGACGAATTTCGTTGCGGAAGTAACGAGTGCCTACCGCGAAGGGTTAGGTGTGATAATAAAAATGATTGTCGTGATTCCAGCGACGAAGAATCTTGTATGGCGTAAGCTAAATGCTTTTTAACTACGCATGTTTTTATATTAATTATGTACCTTCTTTAAATGCTGCTTCTTCGAAATTCATTACTTACAACGTGAAGAAATACTTGTATGATAATAATACTTGACTCTGATGTAATAAATATACTTGATTTCTTCTTTTTTCTTATCATTATCTTTCCGATAGCCTTCTGAACTTCTCTTTTTCTTGAAAATCTTAGCTTTAAGTGTATAATTTTACATATTTTACATATTTGCGAAATTATAGGAACAGAAATAATGACGACAGCTGTGTTCTACCTGGACAACCAGAAGGTGGGCATTACGAATTGGGTGGTTGTGACGAACGTTGCGATAAACGTCCTGGTGATACAGTTCCTAAAAACAGTTTCCTCAATTATACCTGTAAAAGCAATTACATGTTGAAAGGAAACACCATTTCCGTTTGTGTCGACAACCGGTGGTATCAGCCGCCTTCATGCCATAGTAAGTTTATTTCAACAGTATATATATATATAT